AGAAGTGGCGTGGTGGAATGGAACTGGGGAAGCTGGGAGACGATTTGCTACAGAATATTCTCACGAAGCTTCCATTCAATGAAAGAATCTTCACCGCAGCCTGTGTATGTCGTCAGTGGATGAGGGTGGCGAGGCACCCGGAATGTTTTCGAGAGATCGACATGAGGGAGTGGGCGGAGAGGCAAGGGCTTTTGCTACACGACACCAGGTGGAGCCAACCCGTCATTATTGGTGGTCGGTCCATCCCCGCCCGTGCGGATGCGATGTTGAAGAAGCTGGGTGATCTAAGCAGAGGTCGGGTGGAGACGTTGATTCTTCAGTATTGCACTACGACGGGGATGATGGCTGTTTGTGCTGGGCAGACGAACCTCAGGCGTCTAGAACTTTGGTCTGTGTTCGGTTCCCTTGACGAGCGGCGGATTGATCGTTTGCTGAGATCATGTCCGCAATTAGAACACTTGAAGATTGGTGACGTCACCTTGCCGGACTCTTTTAGTCGATGGTCCTTTTGCCGACCTCACCCTGACTCCCCGTACTCTCCTCCTCTTCCTGATCGAATTCCCTCTTCTCTCCTCAGAAGTGCCGCCTTCGGCTTCGGCGACGATTCTGTAATCGACGACAGTCATTCCGTCGTGTGGATGGAACCGCCCCCTTGTGAGTGTGTCAATCCCCTTCCTCCCATATTTCAATCTCCGCAGATTCAACGTGGGCTCTTGGATGAAGAAAGTGGCGACGGATCTGATGGGAAAGATGGAGGAGGGGGAAATGAAGTGGAAAGAGAGGGGCGGGGTGGCGCTGAAGGGTCTGGGCCAAGCGGTGAAGTGGGAGGAGGAGGAGGAGGAGGAGGAGGAGGAGATGAAATGGAGAGAGAGGAGGGGAGGGGTGATGGAGGCTCGGCGGTGATCGACGATGTAGGAGGCGGAGGGGAACATGAAGAAGAAAGCGAAGAAGGTTCTGGGGGGCAAGATGAAGATGGAGGAGGAGGAAATGCCGTGGACGAAGATGGGCAGGATGATGACCAAGGGTCGGCGGCAAGCCATGAAGCGGGAGGAGGAGGAGGAGGAGGAGGAGGAGGAGGAGGAGGAGAAAGTGATGAAGTGCAACGAGAGGAGGCGGTGGGTGATGAAGGTTCTAGCGCGAGGAGGGAAGAAGAAGCAGGAGGAAATGAAATTCTTGAAAGAGAGGGGCGTGGTGATGATCTACGGTCTTCGCTCGTCCATGGAGGAGTAGGAGTAGGAGTAGAAGGCGGCGGCGGAGGAGTAGTAGTAGTAGTAGTAGTAGGAGGAGGAGTATTAGGAGGAGTGGAAGGAGGAGGAGTAGGAGAAGGAGTAGGAGTAGAAGGAGGAGKAGGAGGAGAAGGAGTAGGAGCAGGAGGAGAAGGAGAAGGAGGAGTAGGAGGAGTAGAAGGAGAAGGAGTAGGAGGAGGAGGAGGAGGAGAAGGAGGAGGAGGAGGAGAAGGAGGAGATGATGAATTAATAGATGAAGTGGAAAGTGAAGATGTGTGGCGTGGTAAAGAGGTCGTGAATGACGATGGTGGGGACGAGGAGGTTGTTGTGAACGTGTTCTCAGTCTATAGTATGTGGCTGTCGCCGCCTGGTCGCCCTGAGAGACGCGGTCGTCGAATCTTGTCCTTCTCTCTCACTCCTCCAACCATTGAGGATGAAGACGGTTCTTCATCAGATTCTTCATCCACCTCATCTTCATCTTCATCGAGCGGCGAAGAGCAGGAGGCCGGTCTCGAGATGCGGGGAGGTAATCATCAGGAAGAGGGGCAAGGCCATCATGATGACGGAGTGGAACCCGATCCTGATGCTACGACGACGGCGGATGCCTCTGCCGCAGTAGAAGATGAAGATGATAATGAGTGTGATGTCTCAGTAGTTGCTCGTGGCGTTGATGGTTTGTCAGTTCTGAGCATCGCCAAGAACTGTCCAAATTTGAAGACGCTTCATCTCACGTCATCTCCTCACAGCGACGACTTCTGGACGCAGACCACGATGATGGCCTTAGTCCAAGGATGCACGGGATTGACCGATCTGTCTCTTGCCGAAGGCAGCGCTGCATTCTTCGACCGCTGGTCCGCAGATGCCGACCAGCCGGAGTGCTCCGCCATCCGTGTCCTTGCTGCGGGATGCCAGCAACTGCGAAACCTCTCTCTCTGCGATTTGCCGCTGCCGGCGTTCGATGCCTTAGTGCAAGATGATGATCGGTGCAGCCCTGTGTTATCTGCTTTGTCTCTGACTTCGAGAGGCTTACTCGAGGAAGACGAAGACGAATTGCATGGTCTAGACGTATGGAATTCCTATTTCCGTTGCACTCGACGTCGACACCTGACATCTCTGTGCGTGATAGATAGCGTCTACTTCGGCGACTCTCAGCTGGAGGCGGCAGTGACAGAGTGTTGTTTTGGCTTAACGAGACTGGACGTGAGCGGCACGCGGGTGTCCGACTTGGGGATCGCTGCAGCGGTGCAGAATTGCTCTCACCTCCGAATACTTTGCGCATCTCGGTGTCGATACGTCACCGACGAATCTGTTAGGCTTGTGGCGGCTGCAGCTGGGCGGCAGTGGCGGGAGCTGTGTTTCGACGAGACGAGCGTCACACACAACTCCCTGTCTTCTCTGGCCTGCCTGCGAACGCACACTCCAGGACTTGTGAAGCTTCTGCTGTACGGAACCTTAGTCGGAGGAGGAGGAAGAGCAGCAGGAGGAGGAGAAAGAGTCTCTACCTTACCCTCCTTGGAATGGTTGACGAGTTTAGAGGCCATTCTTCAGCGCCATCCCCATCTGGAGGAGATAGGTTTGCGCGTCTTCGATCCGTTGTTGAATGCCCATCAAGCGGAGTGGATGGAATTGATGTGGGGACGAGCAGTGGCCGCGCGGATGTTCGCACAGTCTCTACGCGCACTGGAGCAGCATAGGGAAGGGGGATTGCGTAGCAGCAACAAGAGGAAGGATTGTGTGTATGGCTGCGAGGATGGCTGTGAGTATCGTGGTGAGGATGGTACAGATTGGGAGCCTCGTCTTGCCGCCTGGCAGTGCTGTGGTCCTTTCCTGCGTTGCCTCTCTGCAGTGGGTCGGTCCTTACGCCGCCTTCATCTCTATTGCGACCCGAGAGCGCTTTTCGCCGACTTCCAGGTGGGGTTTCTCGATTTCCTCAGCTCCTGCCCCAATCTAGTCTCTCTCAGATTGACAGGATTTGCCCAAGTAAGTGATGCCATCGTGTACAGGCTGGGGGATTTGTGTCCTTTGCTGGAGCATCTCGCCATAGCTGGTTCTCGAATACCCTTCTCCAAAGGTATCGAGCACCTGGCTGTCACAAGCCCCAGACTCAAGTCTTTCGAGTACCGTCCCGACCATTACAGGGGCGTCCTCTTGGACCAAGCATATGACCTGGCTGCCTATGTCAGGAGGTGAAGCTATTAGCCTACCGGCTTCCGCCAAGTCATTGACGCCATCGTGTACAAGCTGAAGGATTTGTGTCCTTCGCTTGAGCATCTAGGGTGTGAAACTCCTGGCTGTCCCAAGCCCCAGACTCAAGTCTTGCCCGTACCGTCACGACCAGTACAGGGATGTGCTCTTGGACGAAGCCTGGGAGTAGGTTAGACATGTGAGGACGAGAACCAATTAGCATACCATCTTCTCCCGAATAGAAAGCACGGTCATGATTGCTGTGTTATGGCCAAACGTCCCTCAAGATTCAGCCATAATATCCCGGTTTGGTACGTGAGGGGTACACCCAAGTAACTTATTTGCATTGGTGGGGGTGCGCCAGGGAACATTTAGAGGTGAAAGGGAGGGGTCTCGCAAGGGAGCGAGCCACAGAGAAAGGAGGAGGGGGGGCACGGGGGGTTGGGGGCGGGGGGAAGGGGGGGGGGAAGAAGGAAAGGCAGTGTATGATACAAGTTGCAATTTCATGTGAACAAGTGGACCCGCCGCAGCGAGCAGGGAGGAGGGGGAAGGGGTGGGGGGGAGGGGAATGGGGAGAGTGACGTGCGGGAGGTGAGCGCGCATATGGAAGGATACATGAAAGAAAAGCAGAGAATCAGAAACGGGAATGATTTTGTAGGCTGAAAGGAGACCTAACTGTGGCGAGATCACAAATGTTCGAGCCGACATTAGTCTGTTGTCGTGTGTTTATCGAGGGAATGCGAAGGGATAGGGGTGTTTGGAATTGGCCGGATGAGTCTTGGGAGTCGTGAAGCTGTTGTTTGTTGTTGCCGTCATGGAGCAGGTCGTCGTTCGGTGGAATTGGCTGCAAGAGTCTTGAGAGGCGTGATGCCGTTGTTTGTTGTTGCTGTTGGGGAGCATCTTGCGTCTGGAGCGGATCAATGTCTTTGTGGCTCTGTGTCCCTTCGTGTCTGTCTCTCCCTTTGTTGTGGTCTTGAAGAGTTTGCAGATGTTGTTGGACGATTCAGTCTTCCCGGTGGGCGGAGCTTGTTGCGCGAGTCTTGAGAGTCATCTTGCTGTTGCTTGTTGTCATCGTAGGGGAGCACCTTGTGCTTGGAGGTATGCGACAGCACGGTCGATGATGTGAGATCTGAAGGTGGGAAAGGGAGGGAGCGGGCGTTGGGTTTGCTGGTGGGGGAGGAGGATAAGGTCGTTAAGGTAGTCCCATGCGCGTGGTGTGTGCGGTATGTTATATCTGTCGAGTGTGAGGGGGGATGTGAGCATGTCGTGGATGATGGCAGTGGAACGGGTTGCGCCCCAAGGCTCAAGAGGGAGCCACCAAAGGGGATCGGTCTGACGGATTCTGTGAGGTTGAAGAGGAGGGCGTAGAGGCGGCGAAGCAGAAGCAATGAAAGATTGTTTGTGGTAGGCGGTTGTATCCAGTCGCACTGGTAGTGGGGGCGGGTGAAAATGGGGGAGCGAATTTTGTTGTAGTCGTCATTGACGATTTTTAGCATGAAGGTTTTCATTTGTGTGAAATGGATGTTGGGATGCGGGTGAGGGTCTGGGCAGTGGAGGATGTGTGTGCGGTTTTGTTTGTAAATGTCGAAGAAGTCGTAGAGGTGAGGCGAAAAGGCAGCGTGGTAGGTAGCAAGGAAGTCTTCCCACAGAAGCTGGTCGATAACGTGATTGATGTTATTGGGGTTGATGAGAGGGATCCAGGTGTCGAATGAGGGGAGGGGGAGGCGAGCGAGGGTGTCGTCATCGAGATCGGACGGTGAAGAGGTTAGGTGTTGTGAGGAGGATGGCAAAGTTAAGGCAGTGAGTGTTGGAGTGGTTGTGAGTTGTGAAGATATAGAAGAAGCAATTACGGATGTGGATGTGGTAGTGGAGACTGTGGTAGGCGTTGTGAGAGGCACAACGATTTGTGACGGTGTGGATGAAGCAAGGGTTGTAGCAGTTGGAGCAGGTGTTGATGTGGTTGTCGATGGAGATGTCGCGGCGGTTGCAAATTTCTTAGGGAAAGTAGCAGTCGGGGCAGGAGTTGTAGCAGTGGTTGATGTAGGTGTTGCAGTCGTTGTTGCACTGGTCGTTGTCGCGTTGATCTTTTAGCTTGTTTGTCGGTGTTCGATGTTGAGGTCTTCTGTTTTTTTGGCGGTGAACCTGCAGGAGAGACAAAGATGCAGTGTAAGAGGAGGCGGATGAATATTTAGTCAAGGATATCTTTGTATACAATATTGGCAGTTTGTTGAAGAGGTGTAGGGAGGGAGAAACGTATATGGGCGGGGTCGCCAACTCTCGATGCAGCAACGTAAAGTTGGCCATGTGCAAATGGTGGTTGGTAAAGATCAATGGCAGCATGTTTGATGGATTGGCCTTATGATTTGTTGATGGTGATTGCGAAGGCGAGATGGATGGGGAATTGTCGCCTTTGGCACGGGAAGGGGGATGAGGCATCAGTGATTGTCAGCAAGATACGTGGTACGAGAATAGGGTCAAGGGACGGCAGGGTTCGATCGTGAAGGGGTCTGTTGTTTGTGATGGAGTCAATAATGAGTTGGGTGCCGTTGCAGAGGCCGTTTCTCATGGCGATATTTCGTAAGACGATGACAGGGGCGCCTTTTTTCATTCAGAGGATGTGGGGGGGCAGTGATGGAAGGTCCAGTGAGTTGAGAGTGTCGGCAGGGACATCAGGGAAGCTTGCATTCGGGAGGAGGGAGTCGGCACTAAGGGACGTGATGACGGGTCTTGGAAATGAATCAAGAATTATATTGTTAAGTGTTGAAACGACTTTGTTTTTGAATGACAAAATAAGCCGTTCAGCAAGCCATTGCGGGTTTGTGGAGTTTTCTTGCAGGTGAGGGAATGTCCAGTTTATAAGTTCGGGAGTGTCGCCGTGGAGGCAAAGGTGACTTGGGAGGGGAATGGTATTCGGAGGTGCATTATGTGTTTGTTCAATTTGACCGTTTCCGAGTGCGAGTAACCATTCAGCATAGTTATGTCCGGCAGGAGTATTGATTTGTGTTAGGACATGCATGTTCTCAGAAAGACGCATTGTGCGGAAGTGTTGTCAAAGAAAGGAGGATTTTATGCACGCGTTTACAGTTTGGGCGCGTGTGCCTTTGATGATAACAAGAAGGATTTGTCAGAAATCCCCACCGAGAACAGAGATTTTTCCACCGAATGCAAGTGAGCAAGAACAAATGTCTTGCAACGTTCTGTCCAGAGCTTCAATATGAAATTTGTGTATCATGGGTGCTTCGTCCCAAAGGATAAGAATAACCATGCGGATAAGTTCAGCGAGTGCAGATTGTTTGGGAATATATAATGTGGATGTAGCGGTGGGGGTAAGCGGTGCTTTGAAGCGCGAGTGGAATGTTCGTTCACCGTCCAATAAGGTAGCGGCAATACCGCTGGACACGACGGCAAGTGCGACTTGGTCATGGGTATGAATATGCGCAAGGATTTTGTTGAAGCATAATGCTTCGTCTGTGCCAGCAGGTGCGTCGACGAAGAGACAAAGAGGCTCTCTAATTTCAGCAGCATGGGTGACGCGTTGGAAGATTGCATGTTGAGAGGGACGTAATCGAGGGAGGTCGGAATCGAGTATGGATTGGAGGCGGTGTTTATCGTATGAAATTTCATCCTCGATGATGCCTGGGATGTCGTGGCGGCGCGGTCGTTCAGCGAGGCCATCAGCGTGTTTTCTGTCTGCTGGCGGTGGCGATGCGAGACTGACATCATCTAATTTTTTTCCCTCTTTTTGTAAGCGGCTTTCAATGTCGAGTAGGAATAAGACTGAAGTAATCGGGAGTGAAACGTGTGCACCGGCGAGATCCCTGTGAAAATCGTCACTCATTTGATGCCAATGAGTTTCAAAAAAATCATTAGGATCAGCGAGAGCGCAGTGTAGAATAACGTGAACGAAGAGGTCGCGAACCACTAGTGATGGTGAGGTGAGAATCGCATCTTGTAGAACTGCGTCAATTATGTATTGTCGTTCAAGAGGCCGAGTGCTTTGCAGACGGATTGATACGTGGGATGAATTTCAACACCAACAGTGCGGAGATTTTTGAAACTTGTAGCGCCGCGAGAGTGTGGTGATAAAAGGAGCATACGAAGGTAAAATGTATCGCCCGCGTTGGGGTGGATTGTGTGTATTCGGCCAATTGTGTTCGCAGCACGTTGTCGAACAATCCATCATTTTATTTTTCTGTCGAAGCGAAAACGACGGATCATATCTTTGTACAGGGGTTTCATGTCATCAGCCTCGTATAGATGTGTAGCATTCTATTTGAACCATGCAGTGAGTTCGGTTTCGGGGTCCCGGGCTCGTCCAATGCAGTTGGCTTGTCGTTGGTGAAAGTATACTCGTTGGCGGTTTTCAGCATGAACAGGTAGGGGGGAAATAGGGGGGTAACGTTTGGACATAGGGAAATCGAAAATCCGCCAACAGGATTCGGCAGCGCCGATTGTTTTCATGTCTTGGTATGTTTGAATCTCGTCTTCTGTGTTAATTGCTTCAGCGACCTTTGCTCTGTCCGGGCCTTTTAAGATATATTCAAACATGTATCGACATGCGGCGGTTGATGCACAAATTTCGACGTTGAAGTGTGTGCGGTAGCGAAGGAGCAAGTAAGGGTTGTACGGGACAACCCATGAATTGTTGAGTTCATTGTTGCCACGGATAAAAACCATTCCTCTTTCGTCAAGTGTGTTGCAGGGGTAAATAGGGTATCCGGTGTCTTCATTCCATGTTGTCCGCTTGGAAAAGTCTTTGGGGAAAAAGTGTGTGCACCGTTCGTTATGCATACAGGAAGCATGCATATTGTATATGCCGCAGGGATTATGGATCATGTGTGTTAGGACGAGTTCTCGTAGAGCGAGATTCGTCAGGAGCTCGGCAGAAACGATAGAGTCGATTTGTTCGGGAGTGACAATTTTTTGGTCTTCTTTTAAAGTGACTAATATGTGGGCGTGTGGCAAACCACGTTTCTGGAACTCAATCACAGATGTGTATGTAGTTGTTGTTCCAAAAATGTGGGTCGAGTGTATGTCGTGGATCAATTGTCGTAAGTAACCTTAAAAAACACGTGCGAGGAGGTCTGGTCGGTCTGATGGTTGTTGATTTGGAAAGAGGGCACTCTCGATTTCGGGCCAATGCGTGTTGCATGTGAAAGAAAGAAAAAGGTCCGGTGGACCGAACTCTTGGACACTTGCCATTGCATCTTGGTATCGTCGGTGCATATCGCGTGGTCCTTCAGTGAAAGTTCCGGGGAGAATGATTCGTTGGCCGACATTTTCGGCATTGTCGTATTGCATAACATGATCACCAAGATTTTGGTATAGATCTGCACAAATTTCAGTTTGGAGGAGGCGGTTGTATAAGAGACAACCATTTTCAATTTTTGTAAATGTCATGCAAACATATTCTCGAAATTATCGACATGAATGGAAGATGGTTGTTCTTTCAGTGTCACGCATGTTGAGGTGGAAAGCGTAGAATTCTCGTGCCGTAATAGATTGCGTGTCTAATTCATTGTCGACATCGATATCAGGTGTCCAACCATCCTCACCCGCGGGAAAGATGAGAACGTAATGAAGAGGGTCAAAAGCGCGATTTGTTTCGGCAATTGGGAGAACCCCGCCAGCACGTCGGCGGATTGTGATTTCTCGATTGACAGGTTGATCCTGCATAAGAAGACAACTCTTTGAAACCTTCGGGTTTGTTGTATCGTCAATCGTGTTCACCGATCGGACGGGCGTCAGGGTTGATGACAATGTGGCGGTTATGTATCATTTCGTCTGGCATTTCAGAAATGGTGATGAAATCGCGGACCCCCCGATTACATGCACGAAGAAGTGTATGAAATTTTCGCAGGAGGTATTTGATTGTGCGAACAGTCGCAAGGGGTGTATCGGCAGGGAGGTCAAGGCGGTTAAGGCGAAGAAGTGTTGCACCATGTTCGTCTTATGAATCGTGAACGTATATTTGCGCAAATGCAGGTTCGTAGTGAAGTTGTGGAAGAAGAGGACCCAAACTTTGTCGGAGTTGGCCTTCTATTCGCAGCATACCTGGCCAAGCACTAGGAGGGAATTGTGTTTCTTTGGTGGTTTGGGATGCAAGTGCAAGGGCGTTGTTAAATTGACGGGCACGCAACCGCAAAAGTCTGCCGTGTGGTGTGTCAAATTCCCATAAGCAGATGATATCGTGCTCATGTGTTCCAGGTGCAGCGTATTGCCAAACGGCCGGTTTGATTTTGCCATGGCGGCAGCAAAGCATGGTCCAGGGGTGCTCATGTTGTCATTTATGCGCTACGCAGTAGACACACGGTGTTCTGTTTTCGAGGGTGACGATGGCGATGAAAATGTGTTGGATGATGAGTGTGGCAGTGTATATGCGTGCAGCATTCATGCGTGGTTGTATGTGTTGAATGTGTGCATGTCTGTAATGTTGTTGTTGTAGTCTATGACGTTCACGGACTCTTTGTTCGACAGCACGGGACGATTCGGCTGTTGGAAGAGGAGGGATCGAGTGACAGAAAAGGAAAGGAGAAGATGGGAGAGAGACAAAACAACAGCAACGGAAAGCACATGTGTAAGAAAGCGAGCTGTGTTTGATGGTGGATTTCTAGGCAGATTTGTTACAATCTGAAGTCTGAAGAAACATTGGCAAGAAAAAACAATTTGAAATATTGAGGCTATCAAAGAATGTTGAGAGAAAGAGAGAGAGGAAGAGAGAGAGATAGAGAGAGAGAGAGAGAGAGTGAATTGTGTGTGTGAGAGAGAGAGAGATTTCTATCGATTCATGTGTGTATATATGTGTGTGTATGTGTGTGTGTGTGTGTATGTGTATGTGTGTGTGTGTGTGTGAGATTGATTGGTTGATGAACGGCAGGCACTGACGTGCAGAAGTGTATATTCGATTTGTGTGTGTAGAGAAACAGAGAGAGGAGAGATAGATAGATAGATAGATAGATAGATAGA